TTGTATCTGTATTACAGTCTGCAGGGAGCGGACAGCGTTCGCATTGGGCTTCTGGAGGAGGACATCTTCTGGCAGCGGGTCCTGCAGCAGAGACACATCCATGAGGAAAGGTCAATTACATTTATGTTGGCGACTTATCAAAATATTTGTTTAAGAAGAGACCAACTTGATATCAAAGGCAAGAAATAACTTCATTAAAATGTTAACTTCTGTTCAAATCTTTAGTCTGTTTTACAGAAGTGCATCCATGTGTCAAAACTTTCATTGTTTCTTTTATTTTCCACAATATAAGAACATAAGAGTCCACAAATTCTAATTCTAAATTTACTGAATATAGACGCTCCCTCATCTGCCAGTTAAACAACTCTAGCAAACAAGCATGTGAGAAGAACTGCATTACCCAGCATGCCTCACCTGTATGCCCAAGAGGGCGCTGACACAAGCTTCAGACGCATCACAGATAGCTGTGAGGTCATGACCTCCCTCGAGGGACAAAACCACACGACCTCCTGCTAGCGACATCAGCTGGCGGGTCAGGAAGCCGAAACCTGCGCAGAAACGTTGACTTTAATTAGAAACCATGCAAAAAATAAAAAAGTAAGAGTAAAGCTTGGCAGGTGAGCTGCAATCACCAAACCACTTACTGCAAGAGTTACCAAAAAAGAGTATTGCTATAACTTCCAATATTCTATGAAAACGTGTATTTTTACTGTGGAGATCCTCCCACAGCAACATACCAACTACTAATTACTATAATTATGGTCACATCAGTGATGAAGCGAGGCATGGAAGAAGGCACAATCCCGCTCTTTGGTCCGCGCTCGACAGGAGCTGTAATAATCTATTAATATCTCCATAATACCCACAGGACCATAAAGTAAAGTTCTTATTAGCGTCTCATGCTAAAAACAAGACCTTGAGGTAAGGACCGGAGGACGCAGTGTGCAGTCTGTGGCGGAGAGCCGTGCTTACATTTGGCGGAGACCTTGTACCCTCCCAGAGGAGCGGGGTTTCCCTCGGCGGCGTCGAAGCCGGCCGACACCAGAACGACGTCCGGGGAGAACTCCTGGGCGATCGGCATCACCACGGACCTGCAGGGACAAACACACACAGACGGTCCTCTGTAAATGCAAACCACTGGAACTGGTTCTACTGGTTGTTACGTGGAGGTTCATACATGACATTATTGAACCCTCTGAACCTCAAACAGTTTCTTTTTTTTTTTTTGCTCCTGTCACATTTTTCCTTGCTGTGGGCTCATTTGAAGTCCTGCACCTCTATGAAAACAGCACAGAAGTAGAGCGAACTCAGACATTTTCCACAGCATGAAACAGAATAATTATTAGGTAATTTATAAAAATTGAAAAAGTCAGGAGTCGTGTACAAGATTTTCCAAGTGGAAGGGGAAAAAAAATGATGACTCTGAAAACTATACCTACTGTAATACTTTTACAATTTTAATCTGCTGCCAGACTTGTCTCCTATCTGAAAAGCACAGCCTGCAGTTCAGCCGAAAAGCTCCAGAAATTGTCACAAGGAGCGATAAATTAAAATTTTTATTTAAAAGAGACATATAACATTTGTAATATCATGATTTTAGGCTTCGATTTGAATGAGTTTCCTGATAAAATGGTCAGTTCGAGGGCCACTGAAAGGTTGAAAATCTGATGATTATGGACTCAGAGGGTTAAACCATAATGTCAGTGTGTAATTAGATTTTTTACTAGCTTTTAACCACCAACGTAAATAAAACATCTGCTGAGTTTTGACATGTTCTATTGCAGCGTTGCACCGTAACACGCGCCTATTGTTTAAAAACAACACACCGAACACGTCAGAAACACACCACTGCTGCTGCACGGGCATGCGACGATTTAAATTGCATGTGTATCGTAGATTTGTATTTTTATTTTTTCTGATACGGTGCCCACTTTGAGCCTTAATTACACAGTTGAGCTCGAAGAATAGAACGGCAGGAAACCGGACTTTTTCTTTGGAGCCACATAAAAAGCAATAGTGAAATAACAACACACTGTGTTCGTCTAGTCAAAGGCCAGAAGAGTTCAAATACCATGACACAAACGATTCTGTGAGCGCTCACGGTACAGAGGCGGGGTTATGGCTAACGTGTTTAAAGTGCACAAAATCAAAAACTGTGAAAAAAAAGCAACTGGTGACATCACCACTATCACAAATTCTGCACAATTTGGGGAAAAAATGCTCATATTTCTGTGATATAAACTGCAATCTGAACAAATAGAGGAATTTTAAATGATATTATTATTAAATGCTAATATTTAGTCATAGTTATTTCGTAATGGAGTGCATCTACAGTGAAATGAAAAGGCGATTTGGAAGCTTTCTAATGTGGCGTAACACCGGTAAAGACATCCAGAGCTGTGGTTTGCTTTGGATTTGACTCAGATCTGGCTTCGCTCTCATCACACAGAGCTTTGAGAAATTAGTTGTGTTGCCACGTATAGTTGCAACAATCCACCTCTGTCTGAGTACCTGTTTTTCGTCAACATCACCTCGTCTGCAGCCGAAATATTCCGATTTTTTTGGCTTCTTTTTGCAACCAAACCTTCCTTCTTCTGCTCGTTTTGCTGTGCACACGTTGAGCCTGCATGTCAACAAGCTCCGAGCGATGTGAGCAATCTCAAAATTGGAGTAAATTGGTGTTCTGTCAGACTTCACAGAGTGTTTTTTTTATCCACACTCTACAATGTGAAACAACATGTTGTGTGCTGAGGAGTTAAATTGCACTGAACAGAAACGAGGAAACGCACACGTTAAATAAAAAAGCCAATTCTCAACCTTACAAAAGCAAACTTACAAACAACAAGCTGATATTTCACAACTAGCACAACAGCTGATTTAACAGACAGTTAGGCATTGATCCTTTCATCCTGTTAATCGATCACCTGTAGGATGTGCAACATGGCTGAACCCCTTTAACTTTTCGTGAGTGCTTCAAGTACCAAGACAAACTCCTTCTGACTCTGACAGACTTTAAACATGGATTTGTTTCATCAGTTGGCTCACGAGGACCGACTTTAAGACTCCGCGCAGCTCTTTTCCAATCAAATCGGGCAGTCTCCCAGAGATAACAAATATTAATGATCCAGTCTAAAGCAGCCATTAAACATGACAAGTGAAACTAAGGCTGGGCTGATCCCAGACTCAGCAGCTCAAACACAGCTGACAAATGACTTATTGTTTCTCCGCCGGAGAAGCTGCGGAGCCTCGAGTAAAGACGAGTGTGTTTTGTCAGCTCTTATGGCTGCGCCGTGCTGTTTGCGGACTTCAAACAAGTGGAAGATTTCCTTAATGCTATTGTTGTTAGGAAGAAAGCGGCGCTGTCAAGAGGTGCAGAGAGAGAGGCTCGACTCGGCGGCTCGGAGCTGTCGGCGGAGTTCAAAGCCGCGGCGTGCGAATCTGTTTCCCATTAGAGGCTTGTCACTCTCCTCACGTCATTGACAACACGGAGAAAAAGAGGAAAAGCGGTCCATCTGGGATCCATTTACCTTCATTATTCTGCCTGGGGACTTTGGAGACCTCCCTCCCTCCCCTTCACACACACACAAACACACACACATTCGAGCTCACATGCACACATCCAAACACATACTGCTGTCATGACTGCATGCAGATGGACAACATGAGCTCATGGACAAAAATGAGAGATAAAAAAACACACAAACCAGCATACCCACGCGATTATGCAACACAAAGACGGCACACACACATGTAAACATGCGGCGTGAATGATCATCATGTCAGCAGTGCGTTAGGTTCTAATTCACCATATAGCAGGATTGAACTTCATCATAATGGCGTGGATATGAAGCGGGAGCATGCCCACTCATCCCCACACACTCCTAACCGCAAATCCCACCTCCCCTGTAGACCCATTAAAGCTGCCACGGTCCCCCCAGAGAGAGTAACTACAGACAAACTAATGGAAAGACGGAGAAGGGGGGGAAACGAGTGCGGAGGAGAGGAGGGGACGCTTATTAAAGATCAATCAAGGGAGGACAGGAAGAGGGTGTGTGTGTGTGTGTGTGCGTGTGTGTGTCGGGCGGCGGTGATGGAAAATAAAGTGGGGGGTGGTGGTGGTGGTGGTGGTGGGTGAGAGTGAAGGATAAGGTGAAAATACACCAAAGCTCCCCCCCATCTGAAGCTTGAGCACTTTCAAACCTTAACCCATAAAATGCGTTCCATTAAACTTTTTTTCCCCCTCTTTTGGAAACTTTATTAATTACAAAGGGTGTGTGAGATGTGGAGGCCCTAAAGGTTTAAAATATAAATGCTCTTTTTGAGTTGCTAAGTCAAAGTAAATGATGTGTTAATAATTACAAACTCGCACTAATCTGAGTCCGATATTCCAGAACAATCAGTTTATTTTCACTTAATAAAAGATGACATTTAGCTTTCTTTCCTTCTGTTCTAAGACCTCAGAATCGGTTGATGTCTGTTCATGTTTCAGGTCTGTAAAGTTTGCGTGCGACACAATTACTCTGAACAACTGATCTGGCCTCCAGGTGTCAGAGACGCTGACCACGCTCGTGTCCGTCTTTGCTGTCTATCCACATTTCTTTCTCTCCCATCGTTGCACAAATTCGGTTTCCCCGCATCGGTTTAACATTTCCACAGCTATTCTTTAAATCTATGAATCCCAACTCCGCTCACATCTTTAAATCGGTATTATTTTCTACAATTATTAGAGAACTTTTTGATGTGGGGAACTCACGCTTCAGGCGCATTAAAAAAAACAAATAGAGAACTACTTGGAACTTCTATTAAGCCCAGATCTGAATACAAGGACATATGAATGGCATTATGTTGAAAAAAAACCCCAACTTTCTGTTTTAAATGTCATCATTTAATACCCCTGAAACCTAAGGAAGGTTTCTCACCATGCAAACAAAGCCAGCATTATGCAGCTCGCTCTGCTCACAACTTTCTTTGGTCTGATTTTTAAGGAACAAACAGGGTGGGTCAGCTGGATCAGAAAACTTTACATGTTGTGCAATTCAAAAACGGCACTAAATGCTTTTCTTCTAGAGGAGACACCGTTACAACAAGGCCTGCTAGAAAACACGCAGATGGAGGAGGCTGTTATTACCACCAGGCGGATGCATATTACTTGTTTACCGCGCGCTTTACTTCCACTCTGAGTCGTAATCTAATCTCGGTAAAAACCTAAGTGTTGGCAAAACTGGACATGCCGCTGCCACGGAGGTGATCTGTTCCACCTCACAAACACCGTGTCCTGGCCCCCCCACCCACATCCTCCCACTCTGAATTAATATCATAGCAAAAGCTGTCTTTTTTTCTCAGAGGTCAGGGTCGCGCTACAAAGTCCTGGAACAAGCGAGGAATCCTTTAGAAGTTTTCTTAAAAACCAGCAGTATTATGAGAACAAATCTCAGTGATGTTACACATTATTGGAGCTGCAAAGCAATGACAGGAACTAAACGCACCAGCAGATCACTTGTTGTTAGACTTCAGATTATGGTGCACCGCTCTGATGTGCATGTTTTTCTATACATGTGTTTACGTGCATGCTCCCCCCCTCCTCCTGCCACTGCGCTCCTTTTCCAGTAACCATGCGGTCGCCACAGTTTCCTTGGGGTTGGATGCACCAGACAACCAAAAAGCCCACACAACTGAAACTTTATTGGTGCTAAACACCCACCGATGACAATTATCCAACCCACCAGCAGGAAGTAACGGTCCGCAATCTGTCAAACACAAGACCTGGAGACCATTTACTGTAAAACATCTGAAGTTATTGGAAGCGGGGAGCAGCAGACACATGCTTTCCAAATGACAAGGATTATTAATTGCGCAAGAAGTACGTCAGAGGCGATGCGAAGCCGAACCTCTGATCAGCTTCGGCGTGTTTGTTGTGGCTTAGTGAAAAGGAAACGAGAGGAATTATCCGAATATCCTCATCCTGATCAATAAAAACTGGAACAGAGGTAGTGGCAAAACTGTTAGGATTAACTGAGACTTGTTGCTCTGATCTACTACATTTCACATCCTGACGCAAATTAAAGACAGAAAAATAATCTGCTTTTAATATGCACTGGACTGACTTCCACTTCACGCTGGAACAGAAATGCTTATTTTCACTACACTCTCTAAAATTCTGCAAAACACATAGACTAAAGACATACAGATGTGGAACAAATTAAAGGAAAAACATTTTAAAAAGTGGAGAGTACAATATGTAATGTCACGCAACGACTGGAGATGCTTCCACAGCTCCCCTCTCGTCTTTGTGTTGCACTGTTTTACCAGAGCGGGAGTTGTTTCTACCTGAATGCAGCGAGGTACTCAGCGTCTCCCATGGGCGGGTCCAGTCCTCCTGTGAACGCCACGTTCACGTTGAAGCCCTCACCGGCTCCAGAACCCACCTGAAAACAAAACTTTGTTTAGAATTGATTCTTGTGATAGTAAAGCCCAGAGTACTGAGCGTCCTGGATGTCACGCACCTCGGCCGGCGACCCGCTGCCGGGGAAGAAGTTTCCGTCGTCGTAGCGATGAAGCGAGATGTAGAGAACGCTGGGGTCGCTGTAAAATACCTCCTGGGTGCCGTTACCATGGTGCACATCCTGAGACGCATCGATAAAACAATTAGCAATATTACGGTGCGATACTTGAGGACGTGTTGCCAGAATCTCATCTCACGAGGCGTCTCACCCAGTCAACAACGAGGATCTTGCTGACGCTGAGTTTGTGTTGGAGCTGCTTGGCAGCAATAGCCACGGAATTGAAGTAACAGAAACCCCTGAAAGACACACAGAGAATGAGATGTACAGACCTCGACATGAAAATAAAAAAGCAATGAATGTCTTTGTGAGTACACACACGGGGATATTGGAAAGTCTTTGTGTCTCTGACTTGTGCGGAGAGTTTTTCCCTGTGTGTGTTGTGTCTTTTAAAAAGGTTTGTTTCCATGTCTGCACACACTCAGTCTTGATGAGAGCATCAGCTGAAGTTTTTGTGTAAAATGTTTAGATTCTTTCCCATCGTGTCCGACCATCAGGGATGCATCCCACTGACCCCAAACTCATTCTGCAGCATGTCGGCCAGCTAAGGTTGTAAAACACTACATCAATGAACTTTACAGACAAGAAGGGGCAGGAGCTCAGGAGTAATACTTAATAATAAAGACTTTTTTTTTGAAATGCCATGAAAATCCAGGTCCAGGCGCTCAAGGTGGATTTGGAAAGTAAAAGGTTTTGACTTGAGTGGGCTGCAGAGGAAACCCACCAGTGTTTCTTTAAAGGTTTTAGTCCACTGCTGCTTTTCAACCCACTTTGAGTACCTGGATTTTTATCTTTTATTCCACTTTTCAGGTGCAATTCTTCCACCTTCCTTAATAACAAAAACTTGATTTAATGTGTAAATGACCCAAAGCACACAGAAAGAATCATAGAGAGAGAGCTGGTAACATTTTAAAGGCAAAAGGTGGTAATAGCTAATATTAATTTTAGTTTATTTTCCTGTGCTACACATGAAAATGTAAAACAATGCAGTAGTTGTATAAGGTTGTATTTAGGAGACATGAGAAAAACACGAGTAGCCGCAACATGGGTAGAAAAAAAAACAGTAAAAACAATTAATCTTCTGCATTTCAGCCATTTGTCTTCTATCATGTTGTTAAAGCTGCTGACAGCACAATACAGCAACAGTCAAACTCACCCTGATGGGGCTGAGCATGTGTTTGAATAACACACACACACACACACACACACACACACTTACATGGGATTGGAGGGATCCGCATGATGCCCCGGCGGTCTGACCACAGCAAAGCCGTTCTGTGCAGAAGAGGACGAAGCCATTAATCAGCGTTTCAGTGGACATAATGAGCTTTAATCGTACCGTTGAGAAGGTTTTATCATGTACGAATATATCACAGTTTGGGCAAATCTAAAGAAGGTACAATCGCACTTCCAAAAATCAAAACCCGACATTTGAAAGTTGCTCTAAGGGTTCCAGTCTTAATCTAAACAACCCTTAATCTCTGTAGTTCATCTGATTTCAAGGTGACTCATCTTAATCACGGCTTTGACGATCTGATTGTTTTGCATTAAAAAAGCTTTTAAATCTAAAAGTGTAACATCAGAGATTTCGTTAAAACACATGCTCGCATGCCAGACTGCCAGCAATGTTTAGAGACAATGGAAGCCCTTCAAGATGCTCATTATGTTGTCCTGTGAACTCGTATGTTTAGCATGCATAGCCAACAATATGTATAGTCTGTGGTTTGTAGTGCAGCGAGCTGGTTGTGTGTCACCACTGCTCTGACACTGAAGCATTCTTGTTTTTCTTTCTCTTCCTGCCCTCCGTTATTCACACGATCTCCTCTGTTTGTTTGGGGTGAAACGTTTTAGAGCGAACCTGCCAGCTACAAGTATTTTGTTCATTTTTAAAAGGGGAAAAAGGAAAAAAAAAGACCGGAATGTAAACATATGATTTGTACAACTCCGTGTTCATCCCGGAGTTTTAGCTGCTGCGAGGAAGAAAAGCAAGAAAACTGAACCCGGTCCATGTTTGAAGTGGCTCAGCGGCTCCTGAAGGCAGGAGGAGGAGTTAATGTTTCTCCCTGAGCCTGGTGGTTAACTTACAGAAACAAAACACCAAGTCTGGATACAAACTGCAGCATTACAAAAACAAGTTCCTGCAGTTATTTCTGGCCCCGTCATCCAGCGCCTCACAAGCAGTAAATTTTTACGCAGAGGGATAAAGTTCAATAACGTCGCTTTTCCACCTCCTGACATAACAATGTGCAGATAGCATGTGTGTAGTGTGAGGACATCTGTGGATGTGTTCACTGTCATGTGTCTGCAGGATTATGCAAAAACCACCAGGCTGAGTTCCAAATTAATTTAATTACTTATTCGACAAAAATTGGAATTAATTTCACATTTTTCTTTGTGTTTGCAGGTGTTACCACCACAGTAAATAAACAGTGGCTCTTTTAATTCAGTACAGTTGCATATATAAAGCCATAGAAAATGATCTATCTATTATTTATTATAACTAATCTAATTCAAAAACAAAGTTCAGATTATTGCACAACTACGGAGCCCGTCTGGTGACATCGATAAGAAATAGAAATAACTCGTTCCCACGCATTAGTTAATCGTGGCCACGAGTTATTAATGAGTGGGAACGACATAGTTAAATTGTGGCCTCGCATTACTAACATGAAGAAACAAGAGAAGTTGTGGAGCACAGTGCGGTCATACCAGCTGTCGATTAAGGACAACGGGCGGACGATTTCATTTTATTCTAACCTTGGAATGAACTACACCGATATCCTGCGATGAAACACCGTCGTTCCCACACATTAATAACTCGTGGCCACGATTTACTAATGCATGGGAACGAGTTATTCTTATTTCTTATCGATGTCACCAGACGGGCTCCGTACACAACAGCCAGGTCGGGAAATTAATTAGTTCCCGTACTAGGCTCTGTGTAAACACCAAAAAGTCCCTGAACTGTTGGTCACAGCTGAGTCACTGATGGCTCCACCATTGTGCCAAGCAGGTTTTTTTGTTCTGCTTAACCCTCCTACTACCTTCAAATTCACTGACATCTTTGGGTTCAACTTGGCCCCAGCGTTTTAAACCTCCAGAACATTAAAAAAACTGTCACCCAAGTTTATGTGTAAGTCGTCCTTCAATCACTTATTTAGAAACCATATATCACGATTATGTTTTGCCCGGTTCCCCCCTGACTGAATGGCATCTCACAGATGAGCAGTTTAAAGACCATCGGAAAGTGAAACAGCCGGTTTTACAGTTGCTGTCTTTAATAAATGGTGTCATTTTGGGGATTTTCTTTTGAGAAAAACAAACTTTTTAAAACCTTTTGATTAGTTTTGGGGTTCAGACGGTTACTGTAAATTCCAGACTATAAGCTGCGACTTTTTTCAGACGCTTTGAACACTGCGGCTTAAACAATGATGCAGCTAATTTATGGATTATTACGAGTTTTACGAATATGCCTCGAGGCGACAGTGACATTGACAACAAGAGAGAGACTGAGGAAGCGTGTGACGAAGTGATTCTGAGGCTGTTCAACTCCGACACTGAAGACTTTAGTGGTTTTAGTGCACAGGAGGAAGATGAAGATAGCGATCAATGACTTTTCCTGGTAGGCTGCTGTATTTTTTTTTTCTTAACCAGCCGTGTTACAGGAACTGTTTGGGAAAAAAAACACATTTATGATACGTATTTGTGTACGTTACTGGTATGTATTTAATTAAAAGTTGAAAATATCTCTCTGTGTAAATATCTCCTGTTACAACGTGGACACCTGCTGCTTATAGACAAGTCAGCCTCCATATGTACACTTTTTGTTTCCTTTTTAAAGTTGTGGCTTATATTCATGTGCGCTCAATAGTCTGTAAATTACGGTAAATTTGGTTCTGACTTACTTAAAATCATGAGATAGGGCTCAGCTTTGGTAGAGTTCTGCAAACGCACTTCTAGTTTCGACTCGTTGACTCCGTTAGAACGCCGTTACCGCCGACACACTTTCAAGTGCAGCAAACCATAAATACAAAGTGTGAACCTCTTGTGTCCTGTGTGTCTCTTTAACGCCGCGAGGTTCAGTTTCTCACCTTTAGCTCTCCTTTGGCCACTCTGAACGACAGCTCAACAACGCTGCCTGCCGCCATGCGGGACGCCGTGGAGGTGTGTGACTCGTTCCAGATGGTGTCATTATCAACCTGTCAATCAAAACGCAGATGACGGACAAGGATTAAAAGAAATCTACCCCTAAACGTGGAGCTGCACCTAACATTCAGCGCTACATCAACCCTCGCCACGTCCTAAAACCCTCTGCACGGATGTGACTCAGGACTAACGATGTCACTTCTACTCTTCCATTGCGATCCATATTTGCAAGTAATTTTCCTTTCCATTCTGTTTTTCCTCTCCTCTGTTTGTTCACAAACTGGCATAGCTGTCCATCTGGCTCGGACAATGAAATCCGAGGCATTTCTTTCATCCCTGGTCACGGACATGTTGTTCTCATTAGTCTGACTTGTCATGGTTCGACGCAGACTGTCAGGCAAACATTAGCGTCGGGCCGAGCCAGCGTTCTCTTCCTCTTTAATATCCTGTCTTTATTTCTGTCTTTCGTGTAATTTTGCCCTTTCTTTCTTTGAAACAATATCAGCTTTCATCCGTGCAGTGATTGTGGCGCTTTGTGCAGCGTTCATTAAGAGCTTTGGGAGAATTATGATCGTTTCTTACCCCTACGCCGCCACATGGTAACATCACAAACATCCTTTGAGAGAGGATTCCTGCAGGAACAGACACAAATTCACACATTAAAACAAAAATACATAGGCTTTTTGTCAGTACACATGTTTGTGAGGCTATTTACACACCAGCCAGTTTGCGGTTGTCCAGTTTGAGTCTGTTGAGCGGGTTGGTGCCGTATAGCAGCACATGGCGCTCTGTATGGACCGACTGCAGCTCCTCCAGGGTGGCTTTACGACCGCGAATACTCTGCGTGGACAAAACATCAATATAACATCAATATATATGCAATACTTGAAAAAATTTAACACTATACGCCAGGAATATGACAAGAGGAATCAAACACACATCAATAATCGTTATCAGTGGCTAACAGGGCTGCATGATTTTAGAAAAAATAATAATTCTGTGATATACAGCCTGTTTATCACAATTACTCTTTGATTCTGGAATATTTTGAATTGCATTTTGAACAGAGTATTGCATTCACGTCCAAGCTATGCTACATTCCTGCTAATATACAAACCTGCACCACAATAAGACTCATAATAAGGTTCTTCTTCACCTGAATGCAGGCTTTATTCCAAAGAAAAAATATAGACAAAACTGTACAGAAACGCTAAACTTGCTGAACATCTGCATTAGAAGCTAGCTGGGCAGCCGTGCACAGAGAAGCCTCTAGTCTCCACTCAGTTACTGCAGAGCAGCAGCTCAGACCATGTGTATGACCAAACACTGCTTTGAAAAATATGAAAGAAGGTGTTTAAATGTCAGATTTAGCGAAGATCAAAGTGATTTTTTTTTTTATCCACGTGGACTTTCTGTAAGTGCGGCATTCAATATCATCATTGATCATTTATTTGAGAAGCCAAAGTCATGATCACGAGCAACATTCCATTAACCCTTTCGACACTAAGTAAATGTGTATTCTTTATACCAGGGGTGTCCAATCCTGGTCCTCGAGGGCCACAATCCTCCATGTTTTAGATGTTTCCTTCTTCCAACACACCGGATTCAGATGATCAGCTCATCATCAAGCTCTGCAGAAGCCTGATAACGATCCTGATCATTTGAATCAGGTGTGTTGGAAGAAGGAAACATCTGAAACATGCAGGATTGTGGCCCTCGAGGACCAGGCTTGGGCACCCCTGCTTTATACACTTCAACACAAAGTATCTTTGGCTTGAAATTCATGGTTTTGATCACTCATAAATCCTCGAGTAGATGTGACATCACGACATATCTGGTATCAGTCAAAAGTAGGCAAGTTGACAGCTAAATATATGAAAGTTTACTCTTGTCATATACATACAGGTGTGAAAAAGAAAAGGTAAACTTCATAATTACCAGGGATATATGCAATTAATTATCAGTTCTTATATACTGAGACATCAGTCAAAGGCTTGTAATTAATTAGTTAGTTTTGATGGCTTATAAACATTTTGGAAACGAGGCAGCAAAAATCCAGTTTTCTGGTGATTTCTGGGGTCAAACGACATCATTTTACTTCATTTGCATAATTTATTTCATGACTGAATCGCTTGTTCGCATACGGGGATTCCTACTGATAGCCAGTCAAAATGAATGTAACAGAAAGTCGCCATACACCGGAGCCCACTGTACCGGGCTGCAGGGTTGAACGGGAGTCGTGATACCAGCCCAGGATAGCGGGCTCTAGTGTTGAAAGGGTTAACTGCCCTACAGCTGTTTTGTTTTTTTTTGCAACCAGATCCTTCTTCTCAGTGTTTCTCTCCTGCTCCTTAATCGTTTTCGCCGTGCACACGTGCAGCCTGCATGCCAACAAACTCTTGTAAATAGAGAAAAAAAAACCAAAACACTCCAATATTTGCCTCACTTCACCTGCAGTGCAGCTACAGTGCACGCGTGGATGCTGAAACCACACATCAGCGTCTAATAAAACACCTCCAGCAGCCGAGCCGGCGTGTTTTGCATGTGTGCGTCTCCGGTGTCGTACCTCACACTGTCCCCTCAGGCCTCTCTCCTGTAGTCGGGACCAGATGCTCTGTATCCTCCCAGCATGCTCCGGGTGGCTGCTGTTATCTCCGCACGTACACTGGTGTTTCAGCATTTGAGAGTCGTACACCAGGCCTGCACACACACACACACACAACACAGAATCCGTGTCAACATGCCGCATAATACGCTGATTATTCAAAGCAGAAGCCAAAACACGACTGTTATTGCTGACTCCAGCTGTTTCATTGCTGTCTATTTACTGGAAACATGTTTGTGGCAGCTCAGGTTTTTTAAAATTCTTTCTTTTAGTTTAATTATACTGTGAATTTGCTCTTTTTTCTGGTTTCAAGATCATCAGTTCATCTGTTTTTTCATGAGCTCAAAGGAGACAGAGATTGTCCTGGCGTTACACACTGAGAGCTAAATGAAATGTGATTTTTCTGATCCTCTAGGACGATTCGTTCTGGGGGATATCCCACGTCCCGCCTCACGTCGGACTCACCGGTGGTGAAGCGAGGTTTGCTGCCGCTGTCCTGTGCAGCCAGGCTCAGAGGTTTCTCGGGCAGGGTGAGGGAGGTGGAGGCCGGGGACGACTGTGTGCGCGACAGGGGCCGATGGACGCCCAAACCACCGCCGATCCCGCCGCCGCCGCCGCCGCCGCCACGCAGTATGGGGACTGCCAGGGTCTCCATTTGTCGGTGGAGCTGTTGGAGCTGCTTCTGCTGCTCCCATAGCAACGACTAGCGGGGGAGATGAAGGGAAGTCAGTGAAGATTATAAATATTACATTATCCCTTTAACACCCATGTATCATACAGGCTGTCTGGACTTTTTTTTAGATATTTTGGCTGTGAAAGAGTCAGAAATCAGACTATAAGTGATTCTTTTTTCCCCTTTTTTCCAGAATAACCTAAGCTTTCATTTTTTGGCATAAACTGAGTGTTTAAAAATAAAAGCATCAATAATTTAAAGTGAAAATAACAAAAAGCGGATTTGGCTTTTTCAAAACTTTACTGAGATAGAAGGTGGAATTGAACATGAACAAAAGATTAAACAGCAAAAATTGGGAAAATGAACGACAATAAGTATGTGCAAAAAAGGTTTGGGGTCTTGCTCGCTCAGTTTTCCATATATTGTTACTTAATTTGTACAAATGTCCAGGCCTATTTGGGTTTATGTGGCAGATGAAAAGCAGTCCACGTCCACACAGAGACCCCCACAGCACTGCCGGGTTTAATAGAGTTATGTTAAAGATGTCTTAATGTCTTACAGGAGAAAGTGTAGAGCAGAAACATTTGCTTCCTTTGCTTCACATATATACACACAGATGTCGATCTTTCTAAACACGTGAAGCGATTCGTTGTTTTTATTCTAAGTGCTGGAAGTTTTCACAAAGCCTTGCTCCTGTAATATCTTCCATCACAGCCTGGCTATGCGGTTTGTCTGATCAGCGACTGACACGTTCTCCGAGAGAGTAATAGTTCGGCTCACGGTACGCGCACCCTGTCATCATATCAAGCTGAAATATCCACCATGTCGTAATGAGTACTTGTCAAACCGCAAAACCATGAAACGGCAGCGAGCGTCGTGCCAGGGCAGGAGTTAGGTCGCCATCTACAGGACGGCTGTGAGAGGAACATCCCAACTGTGGAGCTGCTTTGTGTTTTTGTGTCTCCAAACCTGGTTGAGGATGAGCGCGTGTTGCAGATTCAGTTGCTCCTCGTGGTTCTTGGACCCGGTCGGCTCCGCCTCCCTCAGCGACTCTGCCCTCGCCCTGCTGTGATAGGTCGGCTCCGTGGGCGAACTCCCGCCGCCGTCCTCCGAGTCCATGTCCTCGGAGGGGATCTGGTGCAGCCTGGGCTTCTCACTGGACTTAGACATCAGCTGCACACACACACACACACACACACACACACAGGGACATGAAAGCTTAATTTTTACATGATCACGCTGAAGTGATGGAAATGTGAGCGTAAATTTGAGATGCTCGGTGGAAAAGATGCACACTGGTGAAGCTTGCTGTTGGGAGAAAACGTCTCAGCAGCATTTCAGTGCTTAATCTGTGGTTTCCACATGCAAGACTCGCTTAAAGAACCTCCAGAAAGCTCCACATATTAGCAGGTAGTTTAAAAGTCCAAACCCCAGCTGCAAATTTCATCCGACCTGAGGTATCGATATGTTTTAGAACTACAGACCGGAGCATGTTCGTACCTTTCCCAGGTGAGTCTGCTGTTTGAGCCTCTCCAGTAGCTGTGTGTTGTGCTGCTGCTGGAGGAGGTGCGTGTGAAGGACACGGGGGCTCTGGGGAAGGGGCTCCGAGCGCGTTCTGCTCAGTGGCTTGTGGGGCTGAGTTCCCCCCGGAGACAGGTGGTCCAACTGGGGGGCGAACTGCAGCGGAACCGAGTCGAGGCCCGGAACTGGAGGGAGACGGGGCGGAAAAGGAGCGTTTGTTTACCAGAGAAGAGACGGACTGACAGGAATGCAGACGCACATTTTTAAAATACACTATCGTCACTATAATGTCACATTTTTAAGATGTTTTAAATAATTTTGCTTCGTCAATGTAGTAAAATCGCAGAAGTTGAGGAGGTAAACCTTTTGAATCTCAAAGTGTGCTGCTGGGTTTAAAAGGTGTGTGGTGTGTTGCAGCATTTATCAGAGTCAGAAGTTGTGAAAATAGAGAGACCAAGTGAATGCTGGACTTCCTCCCGAACTGCTCATCAGTGACGAGCGGTTCCATCTGGAAAATTCACCAAATCTAAACTAAAAATTGTTCCAAATCACTTGATTGTACGGGTCTTATTTAAAGATTTCCCAAAAGCAATGTTGGTTTTAACAAGAATTTATAAAAATAAATAAATAAATACTCTGTTTTTGTCTGTGCAGCCGTGGAGCCACGAATGACTCAGCTGTGTGACTAATAGTCACATGACAAAGGAAGTGAACTGAGCTGAACTGGAGGCTGGTTTTTAAACAGAGCTAATATGAGACAAGCATACAAACTAATTAAAACATGAGTAGTAAAATATCTATAGCATGTAGGCTGTTACTGATTATATCGGTGCCAAAGGAGGACTTGCCATGACTTTAAAAAAAAAAAAAAAAGTAAAAGGTGTTTATTCTTAATGTAACCACTAGGTGGTGCTGTAATGTTTCAGATAATAAAATAAGGAGCCTTTCACAAATCCACTGCTTCTCAAAGAGGCTTTAAGTTAATTAATGTGTTCATTTGCCACCAGCTTCGATATTTTGCATCCTTGAGGATTTTTAATGGGCCACAGCTCTTGTCAAATATATTTTACAAACATGTTGTGTTTCAACATCCTAAATGCTATATGTTTAACATCTCTTTTGTATGTGTCTCACCAGTGAGTAGCGGCGTGTGGACCAGACCGGAGGGCTCCAGGATGATGACAGGCAGGTGAGGGTTCATCTGTCCGGCCTGGTCGTCCCTGCCGAGGGGGAGGAAGACCGGCGAGGCCCCGGCAGCCACCACAGGCACCCGGCCGACCTTCAGAGAGGACAGCTCTCCGTCAGCCTGCACGCACAGTGGAACAACTATGTGGCTAAAGAAAAACCAGCCATCTGACATTCTTCACGGATTAATTTATAGTCCAACAAGATTTTTTTAAAAAGATATGAGGGATGGTAGATTTCATTCACTGAGCCATTCCAGACTGCATCACGCACAGACGTTGACTATAAAAAGTGCTTCTCTCACAACGTAAACAGGACGTATTCCTTTATAACGCAATGCTTAAATGAAGCTGATGACTACATCAGATCATCAGTGTTTACCCTTGAGTTGGCTGGTAGTCCCAGCGTGATGGTGGGCAGAGTGGAGGAACTCTGGATGGTGAAGTTAGCCAGAGTGCCGTCTCGGAGCAGCAGCTTCTGAGCCTGCAAATGTCAAACATCATCACGATTAAAAATGTTGTATTTGTTTTGATGTCTGGTTTGAAATATGGTCATAACATCACCCTTGTCTAACCTGTCTTCTCTGCATTTGTTTGAGACGAGAGAAATAAGAACGCATCTCGACACCTTCACAACTTGGTCTTTATATTTTTCTGCTGCAGTGACCCAAACCGCTGCGGCCTGATGAAACCTAAGCTCGTGTTTTGTCCCGAGCTGTCGTGACGCGGCGGCATCACGAGGCAGACGTCCGCAGCAGGTGTGACAGAGGTTGCTCTGTCCTGACTTTTTGTGATTAAATGAATTATGCATAAACAGCTGACAAACAGTGTTCCCGTGCTCTTGTGTCGTTGCTTTAAACATGTCATTACTCAGTGTCTCGGCACAGCCAATGTACATGGAACGACTCAGGTTTTTTTTTAATCAAAGCACAGGATTACTTGTTTAAAATGTTTTTTCTGTCCTTAAAGAGAAAAATGTGTCTGCAAAAGCACAGAAATGATTTTTTTCTTGATGCTTTTCTCTTCATCCTGATTTGTTCCCCACTATAAAGTATTTTCCTAAACTAGGTGAGATCATTTTAGTTCTGCTTCATTAATATTCTGACAAACTCAACAACACCGGTGCGTGTTTCTTTGCTTGCCTCGTGCGAGAGGCCGCCTGCAGATGGCAGTAGTCCGTTCTCGTTGGGCAGGCTGTCGTTGGGCGAGCTGCAGCCGGAGACCGGAGTGCTGCTGCTGCTGGGGGACGAGTCTGCAGCGAGAGAGAGAGAGAGGCATCATCAAAGCGAGTGAGTAAGAAATGCAAGAATGGAAACCTTCGTGGGACTCATTGAAGTGATTACAGATTGACTCCTTAAGCCCGAGGCTATTTTGAAATTTGCACCTGAAAAAACATTCCCAAATTTAGTCAGTAACAGCTGCGAAAGTGTAAGGGCCCGAAACCTTGGGCTCCACGGATAAGAGACAATTCTGACACACAGCGAGTCTCTTTGACCTTATCGCCAGGCCGGAGTGAAAAGAAACACTTTATTGTAATTAGAGAGAAATTAGCAGCCTCATAACGATGAGTCAGTGATTTTCTAAAAACTCTCAAGCGACAGAAATAAAGCCCAACAAAACGCTGCATCTGTTTCAGTCACAGCAGCAGCTAAACGCGCTTTGCTTAACAACCCTCCAAAAAAAATGGCAACCAGGACAGAAGGGGTTAAAGCTTGAGGATGTGGGTGTTTGCGGCGGTGCCAGGTTACCCAGCGTGTCCGGTACTCGGTGTTTGACGGTGGGCGGGGCGCTCTCCTTGCGGGTCAGAGGACTCTTGCGGGTGTTGAGGTGTTTCTTCAGCTTGTGTTTCACCTTCAGGTTGGGCTCAGATGCTGATTGATTAAAACAGAACGTTACTTAATGTGATGAAGCACCAAAGGTTTCAGGAAGGTACAGTATTTCCACTTAATGAAATCTGCAGATATTTTGATTTGTCACAGCAGAAAAAGCTAATTAAAATCCTATAAAGTGGTATTTTGGTATAAAAGTGACCATTATAATCTAAGTTAACTCTTTGAAGCAGCTTCAGGGCATTTTTCTTTCTCATCTTTCACTGCACAATAAAGTCGTGTACCTCAGCAGAAACAGCTCTGGCTAGAAGTAGATAGATATGTCTTCTGTGCAGTATGACAAAGTCGGAATGGTATAAATCATTAAAAAACAAATGCTACGACTGCTTCTTACATTTTTAATTTGCGTTTATATTTGTCTTCTGTCTGCTCTGTTTAAACACAGCCTGCAGTTCAGCTGAAAAGTCACTTAAAGCTTCTCAGTTGCATCCAGGAGCACAGGATTTATAGTTTTTTATAGAATCCAGTTAGGGCAAATATTTATTTTTCGAATCTTCAAATGAGGCTTTTGATGAAATACCGCTATTTTAATCCTCGACTTTCCTGGAAAGTCCCACATGACAAGTTGAATATCTGTTGATTCTTTCTGTTTTTACAGCTTCCTGCTCTGATAAATGTTTAATTTTGGCGATGTACTCCAGATAACGTTATCGTATGTACCCAGAACATTTGAATCCGTCACTGCCTCACAACACTTTGGCTCAACAACAGCTGTTTTAAATGTGCGGGTTGTGAGGTTCTACCTGCTCTCCGCAGCGGTGTCCCTTCTGAAACCTCAGAGGGAGGCTGCGACAGAGACGAGACCAGAGGCTGGGAGGATACGCTGGGGTCCGGGCCCAGCTTTCTGGAAAAACACAACGCAAACATCCACATTAGGGTAAATAACGACGGCACATGTGGCATATTCAGCACTTTGATGTCTTGCTTCTGTCTGTGCATGTGTGTGTGTGTCACCTGTACGGTACAGGAGGTGCAGTCAGGGAGTTTGTTCTTTCCAGCGCCGCCTGTTTCTGCTTCTTAAGAATCACCTCCTGGAGTTTCTGCTTCACGGCGGAGCTCGCCACCGCACCTGTCAGTCAATGACACCGACCAATCAGAAACCAAGCAGCTCTTGACCTCATATTTGTCAGGTAATGGTCAGCGGCTAAAACTAGCAAGACAGTTCTGTGGGGGACTTTCTGTGTGCAACACAAGCGTGCACGGTGTGGATGCATTCGTGTGTGTGATGCTTTGTACGGCCACTGGTTTGTCTGAGACTATGTCTGCTGCTGTGTGTGTGTGTGTGTTTGCAAACGTGTGCACAAAGAGGTGACAGCAGGTGTTAGCGGTGATCAAGTCAATATTGACCCAGTGACTTTATATGTGCTCAGACCCGAAACTATATTTAACACCACTGTCGTAGCTCCGCTTGTCGGGTTATATTTAGCTCTCATTTCAAAGCAAACAGCTCTGAAAGTGGAGCAACACTGTGCAGCAAAGATGAATACGATCTCTTGCAGGGACTTTCCTCTCAGGCCACAATCAGCGCTGTGGGCCGTAATTATTTTTAAAAGCACTGAAAAGGCTTTATTTAGAGCTCAGTGACAAAAAAATAAAAAAAGACAACTTCAAATGTCAACCAAAACTTGCGGTAACATGTCAGTGAGTTTGGTGTTTGTGTGAATGGACTCACTCTGTTGACTCTTGTCTTTGTGTTTTAGCTGCTGCAGCTCCTGTTGCTTCTCATGGTGCTCCTGCTCTCGCCTCCTCTGTTCCATGTTGAACTACCGACACAAGCACAGATATTAAAACAACGTGTTCTGGATCAATGTGTAAGAAGCTATAATGTTCGACGTCCTTTTACCCGGATGTGCTGGTGCAGCTGCTGCGGGGAGAAGGAGGTGCGCGGTTGCGGAGAGAACGGCGTGAGGAGTAACGGCGGGTGCAGCGGGGTGAGGAGCGCCGTGTCCGAACCAGGGCGCATGCCCCGCTCTCCCACCCTGAGGTCCATGGGAAACAAGGCCGCGCACGACACCGGCACCGCCACCGAAGAATCTGGGAAACGAGAGGAAGAGAGGGAGAGAGGGTCAATTTTCTTCATCCGTGCTAAGAACGGTTGATTTACAAAACACTGTGTGGGAAATCCAAGTGTTTGGGGACAACATGCAAAAAACTACAAATGAATCACGTTGCCATGGGTAAGTGGAGTTTTTGTAGGTGTACACGATACAAGATGTTGCATCATATCACAAGGCCTCAGTTCACCAGACCTCACAGTATGACACCTTTAGCAGGTAAAACGCATGTGTGAGTCACGCTGCACAACACAGGAAGCACTATATATATATAACTTTATATAACACAAGTATTTTCAGCAGGTATGATCATCTTGAGATGAAATCATAGAGACTATTTGGGACGAATGAATCACTCCAGAATGATTAGTTGGTTTTGAAGGGGAGTGCATCTGCACTGAAATAAAAATAATTTTGAAAAGGATGAAAAAAGTCATTTGGAACCTCTCCTATGCTGTAACGCTGCTGAAGGCGTCCAAAGCTGCTGGTTTCTTTTTTTTGTGCTTTGGCTGTCATACGGAGCTTTGCCGTGCTGATTGAAACGGTCAAACAAATTAGTTGCATTGCCTCATGTAATGACAACAATCGCGAGACACCGACAGCAGAGCACCTGTTTTCAGTCAACATCATCTTTTCTGTAGACAAATTATTTCCATACAAACTGATGCCGGGTTTCCTCCTTGTCAGTGTTTCTCTCCTGCTCCTCGCTGTGCACATGTGCAGCCCGCTTGACGTAAACTCTTTATTGTCGATAAAGTTTAAAAACTTTTAATCGGAGTAAATCGTCTCTTGTAGATCAGTCATGGCGAATGGGTTTTCTTTTTGTATCGAGCAGCAAAACAGTTGCAGCATGAAGGTAGAGATGTTACTAGTGTAGCTGTTGTGTTGTTGTTGTTGTTGTTGTTGTTGTTGTTGTTGTTAACACTACATCTAAAAACAACACTGATGCACGACAACATTATAATGGCTTTTATTTTTTTGCAGTGCATTGCACACGCTATCTTAAACTTGTTCTGTACAAAGTCACACACACACACACACACATGCGCACACACACACACACATTTCCATGCTCTTTGCATGCTGTTGGGGCTATTTGCATTGCATGGCTGAGTCAATGGGAAAGATTGCCTCATCCAGCACTAAAAACAGGATCCAGGAAGGGAACAGCTTGGGAAAAGGCTGGGGGTGGTTTCTGTCTGTGAGACACATACACACATACGTCTGCGCATACACACATGCAGATGCACTTGCCTATGCACAAAAAAATGCACAGTGACTCACACTGACACAGAAACACAGCTGTAACACACACACACATTCACGTGTATCCCACCGCACGCGCTCGCTCCAGCACAGATGTGAAGCAAGTGACACACAGACACCTGCACACGTATGTACATATATTTATATTTATATTTACACGGAAAAAAAAAAAGCCTCCTAAGCAAACACTCAGGACACATGCGCACAGGCATCCTGTCAAGACACACACACACACACAGCTGCACACACAAAACGGACTTGAGCAAACACCTATTGCACAAACCTGCCCGACGCCTAAACCAAAACTTTAAACACACACACACACAGAGCAAGCCTTGAAATAACTTCGTGTGATGTCATCTTTGTGCTGCCGCGCCTGGCACTCAGATGTCAGTGTGTGAAGTAGATGTCACTCACAGAGAGGTTTGGCCTGATGCCAGCGGCACTGGAAATGGGTGAAAGGGAACAAAGTGAGTACGACGGTGCAGAGGAGATGGATACGTCGCCGGTGTGTTCTCCTCAGCGAGCTTCAGCGCTGGCCGTGGTCTCATTAGAATCTCTATGTGGGTTAATGTGACATTGCAGTGTGTGTGGTGTCAGTACTCCTCCTCCATATTAGGAGGTACAAATGCAGAGAGACGGCCCAAATGCCGACCGTGGCTGGAATAACAGAAATCCTTTGGCACACACACACACGCAAACGCACACACACACACACACACACACTGCTATGCACACAAATTCTCTGCAATGACAGCAAGAAATAATAAGGTTATTATTCTGAGGGAAAAGGAGAGAGAACATGCTTATACAAGGAAACAAAGGCTGCTACAGTGCACACACACACACAGTCGGGAGCCTCCCATTGGTTATAAACAGCAAAGCTCCACACTGGTCCAGCATTTACCTACACAGTGTCTTTTGTTTCTGCAGGGAAGACCTCACGCTTGTAGATTAGCTCATCGATGTCACCTCTGGTTTAAAAAGCTTTTATTGGTGAAGCGAAAATAGAAAAAGAGAGAGGATGCAAAACACTTTGGAGGTAACTAGCAGGTTGCCAAAAGAAAGAACGAAAGCCTCCCCACGTCATTTCAACTCAGTTTTGTTTGGAAAATCTTCTGCACTGCCAATCGTCCGTCGCTAAACTCGCATGTGTTTAGAAAGAAATTACGTGGACATGAAATCACTTGGAAACGGAATTCAATCAATAAACCATTTTCTCAGCGGACAGTGAGGAAACTGGTTTTATTGACTTTAACTTCTTGTTTTTCTGTCTGTGCTCAGTGATTATTCTACTGGACGCATCGTCAAGCTCACACCTCTCATATGCAAACTGAGGTGAGAGAATCAGTTAAAACACAAACACAAGGCGCAATTTTTGTTTTAAATAAATGGAAAGTTTAGGAAAGCAGTGCACGGTAAGTGAAGCATCGTCATTGTGATAAGTCTGCCAAGAAATAAAACTGCAGAAAATGTGAAGTGAAGTCACACAAATGACCTCAAACACATCCTGCTCCAACTTTTTATTCTACTTAACACAATTTTCCTTTTCCAGGATTAAACTACAAGAACATTTATAGAACGAAATTTACTCCGATTTAACTTTGTTAAAGCTTTTTTTCCCAGATGCAAAGTTCGTTGACGTGATCTACAGAGCAGAGAACTGAGCGAGGAACAGCAAGGAAACGCCGAAAAGGAAGATTTGGTTGCATTGAAAGAGTTGTACAGAAGGATTTTAGCTCCAGAAAGTGTCATGTTAATCAAAATCAGATACTCGTCAGCAGCTTTTTGCACCACAGGAGGTAACGTGACTAATTGGTCAATGGAAACCAGCACCTCAACGGTCCGTCTGACCAAGTCAGATCTGCAAAAAGCTCGTTTTCTTTTCCTCTGATTCACTCTGAATCTTCCCAATCATCCCACACTGATTCATTCCTTCCAATTCATCTGCTAAAAAAATTCCCGTATTGTTTAATATATGGCAGAAAAACTAAATATCGCAACGTCAGCGTTTTCCAAAGTTGTGCAGGCATCATTTCAGAGGTTTGACATCATTATTCCTCATCAGGCAACTCATCACGGGGGAGTGCAAACGGCCCGTTGCGGTACGTTTCTATTGAAATCTGATTTTGAATTATTAGTAAACTGTGAAGCTGTTGCATTTTCAAATCTGAGGAAGGTTTAGATTAACACCAGCTTTGTTTCTGCAAAAATCACCCGGTGTTTAGCGATATTTTGGCAGCGCATGAGACCGAGGAGCAATCTCTCCGACCACTCGGCCACCCTGCTGCTCGGTGAGTGGATACGCCATGTCTGCAGGGCTGTAGAATAACTGAAAATAACACAGTTCCCATGTAGCCGACACGACTTTAAGTCTAGAAACCATGTAGTGGTTTTTGCTCTGAACTTGTGCGACCGCATTTAATCCGTCCACGGTCTTTCTCTCTTGGACCTCTCCAAGTAATGCGAGGCGCTGGTGTTTTTAGTTCTTTCAAAGAATGATATTACGTTACAGTTCATTACAGCTGTGTGTTGTACTTAGAGAAGAATAACAAATCTTGAGCCCGTGCTTGTGATTCTGTGTTGATTTCATTTAAATAACACGGTTCTTCTCCGGCAAACAGAGCTGGGGAGGCATGAAATAGAATAATACACAAAGCGTGCACACCCATCCACACACACATACTTAAGCAACACGTCCATCTGAAAGCATGAGAGTTCACGACATGCTCGCCTTGAAAATTCAAGAAAGTCACATATCTAACAGAAACTGTATCAGCGCTGAAATAACGCAGATTTACTCGTTTTTTGTTCTGTTGCTTTTACGTTTCACTGCACTGAGTCGTTTCACAGTTTTTTTGTTGTTGTTTTTTTTTCCCCCAGCAACCGAGACAGGCATTGTTCTTTTCATCACTTAAAGCTGCAACTGATTTTTGTTTGCCGTGAGTCAGGAGGAATTATGAGAAACGCTGACTCTGTGGCGAGCGTCACACTAAATAGAGACGATGCGTTGGCCTTTGAAAGTGACCTTCAAATTACTCCCCTTCTAAATGTTCTTATTATATTAAAACCATTGTCGATACTCCCTCTGCAGAGGCTCATTGTTATCGACAGATTAACTCATTAAGGGATTAACACAAAGACATGCATGTTCATACACGACGACGCAGAAGACAACGGGATCGTCTTCACCGACGTCCACGCTCCGCGGTCGCCGCTCGGCGTGAGAGAACTCCCAGAGTTGTGTTTTTTTGTTGCCAAATCAAGTCGGACGGACATTTTTAATGCGCGTGACGCCAAAGTGTGTTTTTAGGTTGTGATTTAATGATAGTTTTTTGAAACAAAGCCCATAAAACTAAACCCCTCAAGGTTTTAGTTTGCAGGAGTCTGTCATTATGGAAATCACCGAGAGCGCAGCGTGATACCGCTCGCCTGGTCACACACAGACCGTTGGGGATGTGCTGATTTATCGGACAGATTAGGCAGATTAGGTGCATGTTCCCCGTGCAGACAAAATGAAATACAGGTGTGTGTGTGTGTGTGTGGATGAGTGACAGAGAGAGACGGAGTCCATCCCACAGCCTGGCCTTTTGGGTAATCCCTTCCTACTGATTCCTCCCCTTTCTATTCTTTTATTCTGAATCTGAGTGCAGCTGAGTCAGGACTGGTTTTACAGGTAAGACAGGGCAATACAAGTCTCTCTGTGACTTTCTG